GGAAAGTAGTTTAAGAAAGACATTTGAAACTTTAAAAGCACAAATAATTAATTAGATCATGTAGGTTGTTAATAATTACTGGTACCTTCATTTCTTCTCAGAAATGTTTTCTTCTCAAACAGCTCCCAACTCTCCTTTTCTGTTAAGTGCCTCAATTTATAAAGCACACATTGTTGATCTACATGCTTAGCAATCTATTCAAATTGAGTTGTTAGCAATATTTTGCTGCCTACCTCTGTAGTATTTGGGAAGCCTGGACTCAAACTATCCCAATCCGCATCCTTCCAAATGTCATCGAGAATCACCAAACATTTATTCTCACTTTGGACTTGATGAAGTTTCTTGACTAGCTCATCATGATTCAACTTTCCAATTGCTTTCCTTTCTTTCTTTGATGGAGTGAGAAGTTTGACAAGAATCCCTTCAAGAACTTCCCTTATATTGCATTGTTGAGATATATAGGCCCAAGCAACATAGTCAAAATGACGCGTAATTTCAATGCGTTTGTAAACCGTCTTGGCAAGGGTGGTCTTGCCAAGACCACCCATCCCCCAAATGGAAACAACTCTATAATTTGTATTCTCCTTCACCAAAAGATCCACTACTGCTTTTACATCTTCTTCTGTGCCGACAACATCCTCCTCAACAATATGGGTATAGGATCGCCTTAATTGTCGCTGCCTCTCAGCCATAGAAGTTGATGATGAACTTTCTCTAACTCCTGTAGAATTTAGTATTCCACAAGTTTGAAAACCTGTTGTGAGGCTATTGGTGATCCTGGTATTAATAGCCTCAATCTCCAACCTAACCTCACGAAGGGCTAAACATTCCTTGAAGATACACAATTTGTTGGAAAATTTATAAAGAGGTAGTTGTGAATTGAAATAGACTCCATTTTGAATGAAAGGGTGTAACCTTTCATGGTGTCTTTTTGTTTTAAAGGAAGGGTCAAACCTCCATTTGAATGAAAGGGTGCAAACCTTTCATGGTGTCTCTTTATTTTAAAAGGAAGGGGTATGTCCCTTCTTCGTACCTTTTCTATTCAAATTGAATAGGTGCCAACAAAGTCTATATAAAGGCAGCCCCATTCCAATTTTGATTGAACCCGAAATTTAGCCTGCGTTCTTTATATTGCTGTCCAACTTTTATTTAGTGCATTTTCCTTCATTCTAGTTTTAGGAAAAATAACAAAGAGAGTATAGAACACAGGTTCTAGTTCGTCGAACAAATTGTTTGGAGTGCTACTACAATTTGTGAAGATCATTGTATCCTGGGAGATAGACGCCAGTCAACCGTAAGCACCGTAGCGGGGCGAATCTGTCTTAAGGACAAAGTGTCACACACTCGACTTGGTCTTAATTTTATTTCGGTTCGATAAATAAATCCGGTATGTTATTTATTTATTTTGTTTGAATTTATTTTCAAATTATTTTATTTTACACAGAAGATTGGTAGTTAGCGGTGACAAGCAGTGACAATAACAACGATAATGTGTAATACGTTGATGATGGTGGAAATCATGACAGTGACTATAGTGGTGATAGGGTCTACCAGATGAAAAGTTAATAAACACTTTTTTAAATATTTTCTTTATAAAATTGAATGTCTTAAGTAAACCCATGTAAACTCAATTATTCTACTTAACTCATTTTTAAATAGAAAGTTGATATTATCAATAATTGCTATTGTCTTAAGTCAGTTTATCATATTATCATAATAATAACTATTTTTTTTTTTAAATCAGCTTATCAATACTTAGGTATTATAAATATCTATAAACACTAATTAATATATCAACTAACACACTAATTAAATATAATATTAGGTAGTACCATATTAAGTGGTAAAATATTAATTAGTCTACCAACTAACACACCAACTAGAGACAATGTATGTCTTGTGTGTATTAATTGATACACTAATTAATGGAGATTTATTTAGGAAATCATTTTTCAATACTTGTATTCCAATTAGTCCATAATATATTATTATATTTCAATAAGTCCTATTATTTAAACATTTGATCCACCAAATCTTAATTCTCGTATTTAAGGTATTTTATGTACAATTTTACCCTTACGAATATTTTTTGAACGGTTAATAAGTTGGTAATGTGAACATTCGTATTTTACAATGTGAACATTAACATTATCAATGAGAATATTATTATTAATTTTTTTATTATTTTATTTTTTTTTAAACTATGTCACCCATAAAACTTATTATAACATAAGAAAATAATTTGAATTAAGTGAAATGTAAGTAGGTCAAATTAAATGAAATAATTTGAAGATAAATTTATAAATAAATGTCCTATTAATTAATGTTTCTAGCATTACTTTATAAATATTAGCCGATTTAAATTATTTGCACGTTTTGGACTTTAAAGAGCAGTAAATTCAACATAAATCATTTTAAATAGAAAGTTGATACTTTGTCATATATGATAATTTTAAATAGGATTTGGTTTCTCTCAAGTTGGAATCTAAATTTGAGAGAGCGTTTAAGTTTGGTATGTCCATTTTGGAATCAATTTCAACGATCAAAACTGTTCAGTTTTTTAGACTCATTGAGTACAATATTCATGCAAAAAATAAGATGATTGGATATCGATAGATATATATTTGAATAATATTTATTTTTAAAAAATGGACGATAAATATAATTTCAAGAATAACTATCAATTTTTTGTAGTATAAATTGGATTCAAATATATAACTACTGATATCTGATAATCTTGATTTTTTACATGAATATTCTACTCAATGAGTCCTAAAAAGTGAACCGTTCAGATCATAGAAATGGGACCTGTATGGGGAGGAAATATCCGTCGCTCTCCGTACTCCTTGGGTCTAAGCTTCGTGTTACTCCGAGTGACGTCGTACAACCTGAGAATAAAGTGATGATGGGCTATTCGGCGAGTGTGTTACCAGAAAATCCCTCCAACTGTCAAGTTAATACACTTGGAGAAGAGTAGAGAGCAAAAAGAGACAAAAGAAAGATAGCTTTGATTGCCAGAATTCTACAATTGTTGCATGGAGGCACCACACAGTTTATATAGTTTTTGCGCACACAACTCTGCTCGTCCTTTCTTAGACACGTGGACATACTACGCTCTCTTCGTCTTACACGTGTGTATGCAACAATATAGCCAAACAACATTGACAAAACAGCTTAACAGTATTGACGTGTACAGATGGTAGGATCTTCCCTACAACTCCTGATTGCGCCACGTATCGATCACTGTCGAGCTACCTTAGTGTGGTGTTGCGATCTTCTTTTGGAATCACCCTATTTGCTCTGTCCTATTGAGTGCCCACGATAAATGCTCAACCAAACTTTGCAGCTCGGTTGCTCCCACGATAGGCTGGAAGGATAAATTCCTTCCAAACAGAAGCTCGATCATGTACATGACCCCAATTTGCCCGAGCTAGCATCTTGGCCTAATCCACTTTGGGCCGTTCTAACCCAGACATGCAATCTCCAGGCCTGGCTCAAGCCCAAACTAGCTCGGCCCATTAGTTCGGCCTAAATTCCCCTCTCAGGACCTATGGTAGGTTTCATAAATCTCTCAAGTTCTCTCATGTTGAGATTCCAATAAGAGAGAAACTCAACCTTTTTAAATATTCTAACGTTTTACCATCAAAATAAACCAATTCAAAATAACTATGGAAAAAAAAAAAAAAGAATTTCATTTAAAGGAAGTGGCGATATTTTTAAATTTGTATAATTGTTGACATCTTTAAGTTGTAATTTATTTTTTTTCTTATTAAAAATGATAAAGTGTAAAAGATTGATTATTATTATTATAGACCATGAAAAGAATATTTCGAAATTGTATGACATAAATTTAAAATTAAATAATGTGGGCCCATTTAAAATAATTGTGATTATAAATGTGTTTTTCTGAATTACTTATCTAAATATTTATTCTAAGTTTATATTATTATTTTTTGTATCAAATTTCATTATTGATTGTCTAGCCAAACAAAGCATTGGACAAATTGTGACCGTGCATAAAGTCACCAGTTCAAGCAATGGACAGCTCTGACTTTTGTCTTTTAGCATGACCCATTGGGCACCTGTGTCCAACCCCACTTAACCCATTTTCTATGCGGCAGAATCGGTTTAAATGGGTTTTAGATAGGTTATTGGGCGGGTTTATGGCCATGGGCTAAACTTGCCAGCTCTACAGTCCTGAACAATTTTGTCAACAATTTTGTAGAACACTCCAGTTTTTTCAGAGATGTTATTGGAAGAACTCATTTTGAATTTGAATTTTTGAAAATTTCTACGATGATTCTTGAAGGAGCTAGAGAATTGAAGAAGAGAAGAATCAATTTCAAATCTGCAAATTTCTATTGCTATAGAGGCTATAGAGTTTTAATTTGAATTGTGTTGTAGTATGTTTTAGTCTACTTTTCAGATAGAGTGTTTACATGGTTAGGAGAAGTTATAAATGTAGGTTGGAGAAGTTATTTATAGTTTCTTTGTAAATATTTTATGATTCAATTATGATTTTTAATGTTAAGATTATTTTGATTGACTGGTTTATTTATTTTGAAAAAGTTTTTGTTCTGTATAATATCTTGTTCTATCATAGACTCCAGGCATAGTAAAAGCTTGATATTTCCGGCGAATTAAATAACTAGATTTTTATAGTGTAATCAATCAATCAAAATTATCAATCTTTCGAAATTAGTTTTTATATGAAATAACCGTTTTTATCTTCCGATTTAAAATACCCTTTGTGTATGTCTCAATTGAGTTATACAAATTGAATCTAAAATATTTTAAAGAAAACTTTGGTGGAGGATACTTGATACCGTAGCAAACTTTTTTTCCTAGCCATCTTATTTTATCTTTTAGCTAATTATTTTTCTCGATTATCCAATCATTTCAAAAATTCAAAATCATATTTTCCTTTATTTTATTTTAGTGTTCGGTAATTATTTTGAACAAACCAGTCCATGTGGATTCAATCTCGGACTCACCAAGTTATATTACTTCGCAACACCCTACACTTGAGATTGCAATATAAAAGTTGCAGCATCTTACACTTAATGATTAACTCACTTAAGCTCGTATACCTTGGATGGCGTGACTCTTGGATGTCGCTTCATCCAATGATGCAATGTTATTAAGAATCAAACTACAAACTAAATCTACACAACTCAATAGTCAGGATCCCATCTAGATCTATTAAGACTGTTACTCTTTTTATTCTCATAGAACCGGCCCCAGTTCGACACTCATATAGGTGATTCTTATTGTGAGTATCTCCTTATACTCGTCTTGATTTTATACCTTAATCAAAATATAAGTAATCATTAAAAGCAAAACTTATCCTTATACCCCTGCAGACAACACATGTTGCAGATATCACTCTCACCATAGGAATGGGTAAGGAATTTTAATCCCTTGGTGATTTCTGGCGAGCCACACATAACTTAGTTGTCCCTTTGAACTTAGTTCTTGGGATCTCTAGTCATATAAGTAGGGTTACCATTATGATGACTCTTATGTAATAGACTTTAATCCATCCCCTTCGATGAACTATATACTAGCTCTTTTGTCAAACCTTTTGTTAACGGATCCGCAATATTTTCTTTAGATTTTATATAATTTATTGAGATTATTCCATTTGACAACAATTGCCTTACGGTATTATGTCGGCGACGAATATGTCGTGACTTACCGTTATACATATGATTCTGTGCCCTACCTATTGCAGATTGACTATTAGAATGAATGCAAATAGCTGGCACAGGTTTTGGCTACATTAGAATGTCTTCTAAGAAGTGACGAAGCCATTCTGCTTCTTCTCCTGCTT